GAGGCTCAACAGGTGGCGAGGGTGTTCTACTGGCTTTGGGTGCCAGCATGCTCGGATGGGGGACAGATATTGGAGGGAGTATTCGAATTCCTTCCCATATGATGGGACTTTATGGATTGAAACCCAGTGTAAGTGCTCTAGCCGTACTCATTGTAAGCAGCTTATGCTAACTATCATCCACACCAGAGTTCTCGACTTCCATACCGAGGTGTCCCAGTCTCTACAGATGGACAAGAGCATGTGCCTTCATCTATCGGTCCTATGGCTCGTAATTTGAGCATGATTCACACCATAACAGAAGCTCTCATTTCCTCTGAGCCATGGAAATTTGACGCTCGATGCGCGGCCCTTCCATGGAGGGAAGACGCATTTCAAGAAGTTCAATCTCGCCCCTTAACTATCGGAGTTTTGTATGATGATGAGGTTGTACGACCGCACCCGCCAGTTGCTCGTGTTTTGCGCACAGTTGTTGAGGCTCTCAAGACCGCTGGGCATGACATATTGGAGTGGGATGCTAAGCTTCATGCTGAATGTGTGGCAGTAATGGTACCTACCCTCCTCAGAGCTTTCACTGCATCGCATCAGTGCTAATAGTTGTTATTCTAGGATCAATATTATACCGTAGATGGAGGGAAAGATATAAGAGACGCTGTATCAGAAGGAGGCGAGCCGTTCATCCCTCATGTAGAGCGCCTTATTAACTCCGGGGCTCCAATTTCAGTACACGACTACTGGGCTCTCAACCGGAGTAAATGGGAACTTCAGCAAAAATACATGGAAAAATGGGATAGCCTCAGGTCCCAAAAGACTGGTCGCGTGGCTGATGTGGTAATTCTGCCTCCGTTGCCGCACACGGCTGTACCTCATACGGCTTGTCGCTGGGTTGGTTATACCAAAGTATGGAACTTTCTAGACTACCCAGCCTTGGTTCTTCCCGCTGGGAATGTAACTCAAGACGATATTCACGAACCTTGGGAGTTTGCCTTTAGGAATCCCAAAGATGAGTGGACTGGTAAGCTTTGGCAAGATCAGAGGCAGAAAATGGCAGACTTGAGATTGCCCGTTGGCGTCCAACTGGTTTGTAGAAAGCTTGAGGAGGAGAAGCTTCTTGGTATCGGCAAGGTTGTCGATGAAGTAATCAGAGAAAGCAGAGCGGGCCCTAACTAATTTAGAAAGCGGTCAATACAATTCGCCAATTTTTTCCAGTACCATTCTCTTTAGACTCATCAAGGCCACAAGAGTGTTAAACTGCGGGATAGATCTATATGAAAGATTCCAAAAAGGATTTCATAAAAAGCTTAATCATCTTATCTACGTCGCTCCTTTTGGAACAGAGACGCTTGACTTTTCGATACACAACAACCATCATATCTATAAGCTGGCGATCAAGTACGTTTAGGATACTTTAATCGTAGTTACTCACGTCTACATGTCCAAGATAACGCATCTTTGGTTGAATGGTTGCTTTATTAGTTACATATACGATATGAAGTTCACGCTTGAGACTTCTTCCATTCCTCGTACTTCTTCATGACTTCTTCCTTACTTGCTGGCATTAATGCTCCTTCAGGAGCCGGGTTCTTACTCTTAAAGTAATCGCACATCTGTAGAAGAGGTAATAAGGTAGCAAATGTCAGCCAGTGCCGTAGAAAGGGCTTCCAGGAATGCAAGTTCTAGGTGGATAATCCAAAGAAAGGGCCTTACCTCAGCCATTGTAACCCACTCCACACCTTCATGCTTGTTGATGTGTTCGATGAGTCTTTCATGCATCAACAAGACGTGTGGTCGCCCGGAAACATCACTTGAGAATCTTTATTAGCCTGGCTCTGGAGGATATGTGACCGTTTTGACTGCAACTAACGGATGGATAGTCATCGGGAAAATGAACTCATCTATCAAGGCTTGTTAGTATAACTGTGCCAAAATATGTTAATAAGAAAATTACATACCATATTCCCGGTAAAAGTAGTCGAAATGATCTCTCCAGATGTCTTCAACATCTCTTGGATTCACCCATCCATGAGAGTTGGCAGAGTTCTTCATGAACATCATTGGAGGTAGATCATCGATATACCTAGACAAATCAGCTTCTATTATGATTGATTTGCGGGGATCATAAATCTTACCAGGAGCCTGGAATCTCGACCAGGCCAGTCTCTTTGCCTTTCACAAGGGGTTTCATCCACTCCTCTGCTTTCTTTGAGTAATCAATCTTCGTCCATGTGTCCCCTGTGCGTAGCCAGTACGCCTGACAATCTTCGTGGGACATCGAATGGTCATATCTTTACGGCTGTGTAAGTATGGAAACGTCTTGGAAGGTTGGCCGCGAAAGGGTGGCTTACTCGATTCCATAGCTAAGCATGAGTTCTGTGCCTTCCGCGCTGGTTTCCCACCATGGGGCTACAGAACCCCGGGGAGGCTTTCCGCAGAATTCTGTCAACATCTTCCAAGTCTTATCCAAAACATCTCTTTGTTGCTCCAAGGTCATGTCCACGGGATTTTCGTGACTATAACCGTGTAGGCCTTGACGAAAGTTAGTATGCTCCCTCTAAGCCTTTGATACGGATGCCTACCAATCTCATGGCCAGCATCCCGTACCATGGCACATTCTTCTGGGAAGGTTTCCAGGCTGTGGCCCGGAATAAACCATGATGCTTTGATGTTATACTTCTCAAACAAAGTGAGAAGGCGGCGTGTGCCAATTGTACCCGCCCAGAGACCTGCGTGGAAAATTAGCATTGCGCTTCAATTGAAGAATACATCGGACAAACCTCGCGATATATCACTTGTTGAGTCTTCTCCGCCGTCTAGATGAAAGTCAGTTCTAGGTCTAGCTAGAAAGGGTCACCGATATGACACACAAGAGCCTAGCCATCCCGCAACAGCATCGATATCAACACCGTAGCTAAATTCATCTTAGTAAGATACGGACACAATTTTGCTCTCGATGATGGCTTACCACACGAGAACCTTCTTCTTGCCCATATTGGAGGTTAGTCTTCCTTTCTGTGGTTTCTGATTCGTTGATTCGTGAAAAAAAGGCAGGGATCCCAACAGTAAGTTACATGAACTCAATCAATACAACAACTTAGCTTCATTCGTCATTGCAGTCCAGGAGCAGTCTTATGCATGGATATTCACAGAGGCCTATCATCCCAACATCTCGAGGGTGGAGACAGTTTACTCATCTAGTGCAAGATGCTGCCTACATTGACACCAACCCCGCAATGCTACCACAACTGTTGCATTATCTCGAGCGAGCCGAAACAACGCTTGTATCGCTGAGGGGGCAAGAGTGGGAAGTGTGTTTATCTGCGGGGGTGTTTAGCGTCGTCACTGGTCACGATGGCAGATCTCCGCAAATGGCGAGTAATGAGGCACGTTCACGTCGTATTTTATTGGCACGCCCACTCCCCATTCTCGCCCACTCTTGTCTATCATGCCAAAAATGGGGTATCCGGCCCATCCATGGGGTATCCATTCCGCGGCTATGGCCCACAGCATCAATGCCGTGGATAATTTTGATGTTGGAAGAGTAGATACCAGGTGATACAACAGGTCGAAAACGTAGTCCAGATATGCGGCCGACAAGAGGGAGTTTATGATTGTCTACTGTCAATATATACAATAATTGTAAAACTTACAGCACGTCAAGTCCCCCCAACAAGTAACCCATCTTCTCAAGGATACACAGCCCACCCTCAACCATGTCCAAGGTGAGTATAGCTTGATGAAAAGGCGTTTGCATTTGTTGATTCATCAACCAATTAGTATACTAACGTAATCGAATTCAGTTTAACCTTCAAGGCCGCGTTGCCATCGTCACCGGTGGTGCCAGAGGCTGTGGCTATGCCTTTGCCCAGGGCTTAGCTGAAGCAGGAGCCGATATCGCGCTCTTCGATGTTATTGACCCGGCCCCTGCAGACTTTGAGAAGCTTTCGTCTGCTTATGGTATCAAAGCTCGGGCGTACAAGGTGGACGTTACGTCTCTTGCCAGTCTTGAAACCGCATTCGCTTCGGTGAAGGCCGACTTTGATGGAAAATTAGATATTCTTGTGGCATGCGCAGGGGTGAACAAAAATGTCCACTTCCTAGAAACAGAAGAATCTGATTTTGAAAAGTTGTTTGGCGTGAACTGCAAGGGAGTGTACTTCTCGGCCAAACTTGCTGCCAAGGCGATGATCGCAAATCGCACCAAGTGCGGCAGCATTATTTTGGTAGCTTCCATCGCCTCCCATATGGCTATCAGATCTCAGCGCTCTACCGCCTACTGTGGCACCAAAGGCGCAGTCCGAGCAATGGTGGCACCTATTGCTGCTGAGTTGAACGAGTATGGGATCCGCGTCAACTCAATAAGCCCGGGTTACGTACGCACAGAGATGACCAATCCTTTCCCTCATCTTCTGGAAGGATGGAAAGACGAAATTATGAACCATCGCGTGGCCGAGCCCGACGATATTCAAGGGGCATGTGTCTTCTTAGCGAGCGATGCTAGCAGGTGAGTCGATGAGTCGATAATATCCAACTGATCTTAGGAGACTACCGATGCTAACCATGGTAAGGTATTGCACGGGGAGTGATATCTTGGTCGATGGAGGAGTGACGAAGTGGTAGTTAGATTCGTAGAATATAAATCCATCTTTCTCCTGTTCCGATTCTACCGTACAATACTATATCTGTGATGGGATCAATGGCCATTGGCGGTCGTTTATCAAGGAAATCCAAAACTGGCTCATTAATGAGGAGCCAGTTCGAAAAGATTTACCGAAATTGATCTCAATAAGCTTCAAGCACATGTCGGTATTAGAAAACAATTATTTAATTATTTGACATATTCTGTGTACGATACTGAAGACTTGTTCACGATGACAAAGATTTGCTCCACGGATGAGATCAACTCCGGCTCTTTTTTAGTGATTAGACGGAACGTTCCAGCTTCTAATCCAAGGCGATCTCATCGAGAAGGTCCGGCTTCCACTGATTGAATAACAATCAAGCTTCTAGATGAAGTATCTGAAACGGACATCATTCTCTCCCTCAGTGATCTCACTTGTGTCAACGTCTTCTGCACGTAGCTCAACGCCTTGTTCCCGGTTGCGTCGACGATTCTCTCGTCGCATCCATAATCCCAAACCCAGCGTGAAGAAAATGCAGGTGCCATTGCACGCGGCTGTAGCAATCAGGGTCGGCGCATATTGAGGAGCATATGTGGTTCGGAACGTTCCGGCCGACAAGATACCTCCTATATTTCCCAAGCCGACCAGCAATCCAGTGGTAGCTGCTCGCGAGTTTTCACTGGGATTGTTGTTATTGTGCCACGAGTGGACGAGGCAACTGGGAATATAGGCACCAGAAGCCAGCATGAAGCAAGCAAAGTAGGCAACGCCGACGTTCTTGACGGCGTCAACGAATGCAAGAATCAAGAGGCCAATCAAGCTGAGAGTCAAACTTCCGATAATATGGTATGTCCGCTCGCGATTTCGGTCTGAGCTGTAGGTAACAGCAAGCAACACCAAGAAGCCAACCACATTGGGCGGAACGGTCAATATATTCGTGACGACAACGCTGTAACCAAGACGTCTCAATACAAGAGGGAGAAAGTTTGCAGTCGTAGCAAAGGCGACGGGGTAAGTCAAGCTGATGATGCACCATACTAGGAATTTCAGGTTCCACCAGTTTTGGAAGCACTCTCGGAAGCTAAACTTCTCGCCAACAGCTCTGGAGCCGTCTCGCAGTGCTCGAAGAGTGGCAACTTCCCGCTGTTCTTTGTTTAGAAACCAGGCTGTCTGTGGAGTGGCTGGGAGCCACCAGTAGGCAACGATTCCAAAAACAACCGTCATGGCACCTGTACGTTGTCAATACTAGGGATAAAACTTCACTACTGAGTATGAATTTTACCTTCAATAAGAAACAACCACATCCATCCGGTGATCTTGGGGTGGTGGATTTGAAATACTCCAAAGGATATGAGTCCTGAGAAGGCACTGGCCAGGAGAGCGCTGCCAAAGAAGATTGCAATTCGAAAGCCGAGTTCGCCACGCGTATAGAATAGCGTTAGATAGAAAATAGCACCGGCGAAGAATCCGGCCTCGAATGCACTATGTGTGTTGTTAGACGTACCAAAACTCGTCAAGATAAGCATACGACTTCACTTACCCCAAGAGAAGTCGAATAGCCAACATTCCACCAAAGTTCTTGCATGCTGCTTGTACCAAGGCCATTGCGCCCCAGCCCACCATAAGTGTTGGGAGCATGACTCGGCCCGAAAAGCGCTTCGTCAACAAGTTCAGGGGCAGATCACAGAGACCATTCGGGACATAGAAGAGGAGAATAAGCAGTGAGTACTGTTCGCCAACGAACCCCAAGTCTTTACTCATTCCATCAGTCTCTGCATTGCCGAGGTTACTCTGCGATTAGGTTAACTTTCTGACAAAAGCTAGACGTGCGATAGCAGATGAGAGTTACGTACCCGATCGACAGCATTGAAGAAATACATTATGCTCATGAATGGAAGAAGCATCCTGTCCATCTTACGAACTATGACATTGTCAGAAATTCCTCACTTATGATTAGAACTGAGACTTACCATAAGATCTTTCAACAGCGGTATCGATTTCCAGCTGTGTGCCTCCAGACTGTTGATCAGCCGCGATCTGGAGGCTGGTTTCCTTATTCCCGCCCATATTCAGAGACTTCATTCAAGACAAAGAGTTTAATATTAAATTAGATTATTGAGTGCATGTTAATTTCTGGAACCTTGGTCTAGGTGACTTCAAGGCCGCGGTGTCAATATATAAGCACTCTTTCTTGGCGCAATACGCAGTAATCAGCGGTATCAAGGTGACAAGGGTGAGAAGAGATAGACTGATTTCGTTCATCCCAAGATTCACCCACTCCTGACCAAGACTTGGGGATTAGTCAATAGTTGATAGCTATTGTAGATACTAACCTAATGTGGCTGAATCGGATGATAAGATTCATGTGATACCCCAGATAATGAACTTGGAGGGGGAGACCTAAGCCTACCAAGAGCGTGAATGGGGTACCGGGGTTGGTGCAAGCTTCAGAGTCTATTCAGAATTGGTCGTTTCCTCCACCTTTCGTTGGTACTGACTCGATCCTACTCCACCCCAGATAATGCTTCTAATCTCTATTCACCACATCCTATTCCAGGATAGCGAGCTCTCAATATCACGAGATCAACGATAAGTGAGCCTGTTAACCTGTTGCATCCAAGCCAAGAGTAGACTCTAAAGGTCAAAGTCCCTACTGGGAGCTAACAAGATTGATCGCCAGAGCGCAGACGTAAGATAAAAGCTAAGCCTGAAGGAATGGAGATTATCACAAGTAGTATCATTTCTTAGCACGACATAAAGAACGATACCGAGTCTGGGTTCGAATGAAAAAAGCAACATCGCCTATTAGCTCGTTATCTTCGGTCACTAGGTAGGTAGGCAGATGTATAATGAAATAGCTAGATGTTTTGGGTACTATCAAACTAGTTGTACATGGGGAAACTAAGCGACTGCGACTGGTGCTGACTGCTGAGCCACCTGATTCTCGGCCATCTTCTTTGCCGCAAGCTGTTTGTACAGCTGAGCTCGTCCATACGACTCGGCATACGCAGCTGAAACAATCTGCTCAACTGTGGCAGGTTCAAACTTTGCCTGCTCGTCTGCATTCTTGCAAGTAGGAATGCAGTCAATCATGTAGTCTGGCTGCCCTGACACGAAGATTGGGATGGAGTACCTCTCCTTGCCAGATTTGTTGATGACTCTGTGAACGTTGCTCTTGTACTTCTCATTGGTCCAACGGCTCATCAGATTTCCCAAGTTGATCACAAGTGCGCCCTCAGTTGGGGCGACATCAATCCATGTCGAGCTTTTCTGGTCCCAGACTTGAAGGCCATCGACTGTGTCCTGCATCAGCATCGTGATGCCACCAAAATCAGTGTGCGCCCCAATTCCTCTAGTGAGCTTTTCATCCGCATCTTTCGGCTGGCTGGGATAATGGAGAAGTCTCATTGTAGACACTGCTCCCGTCATATATTCGGAAAAGTAAGTCTCTTCAAGATCCAGCGACAACGCCAGAACTCGCATCAAGTCCGAAGCCAGCTGTAGGGCAGCATGGTAGTATCCCATCGTTCCATCTTTGAAGCCTTCGAGGCCGTCTCCAAGTGCTTCTGGCCACTGGTTTGGTCCACTGTTGAGCTTCTTGTTGATGAAATAAGGGTGCGATTTATCAATATCTTCTCCGATGTAGAATCCTTCTTTCAGTTCTGGCTGGGTCCCTTCCTCAAGCATTTGGGATCTCAGCATTTCATAGCCGCGGTTCCAGGTGTTGTTATCTTTAGAGACTTGTTGCTTTTCCTCCAGAGAGAGGTCAAAGAACTTCTTGGCACAGTCCATGACTTTCTTTTGCTTTGCGAGAGGGATGGAGTGCCCAGTGATTTGGAAGAAGCCATTGTAAAGACAACTTTCGCGAACTTGATCAACGACTTTTTGCTTCAAAACGGGATCTTCAGAATAAAATCCTATTGAGCACCGACTGTCAGCTTTAAGTCACTGAGATACTACGCATAGTCTTGATGTGCTTTTGGGTTTCATGATACGGCAATATCCGCCGGGGAGGATGCTATGCTTACCTGAGAAATCGATAATGGGAATGCTGAGTTCAGGCATTGTGACTATGGAGGTTTGCGTTGCAAACGATACTGGATGTGGTCTTAGCTACTATGAATTGAAGTGTTTGTGATGTGGAGTATGGCTGGCGTAGAGTGAGACTCTTAGAACTCTTGTTTGAGGCAACAAAATATTATATCTCTTGGTTTCTTTCGCCATCCCCATCTGTATCTGATGTATGGTCGCTGACGAAGTCACATTGAGCTCATTCCTGCAGTCTGCAAGATGAGGGGATTCCGTCTCCCCACCCTTTCCAGGTGGACTGTGCCGTTGCCATCTCTTGTCTGCTACTCGGCTGTCCGGGTCCGAAGTACGCCTTGGAGTGAGATAGCGCGAGTCAAGGATGGGGGATTTTGTGGGGTGATGTCTCCCAAATGCTTCAACGGCCAACTCACATTGGTAGTAGATACGAGAGTGGGGGAAAGCTATGTGATCCCCACTCCTCAACTTCTCAGCCCGAGGGCCCAGGCATGATTAGAGTTTTGGAATGATTAGGAAGCAGGATTTCACGGGTAATCTCGGACCTAAGACATCCTGTTCTGACCTGTCGGGCTCGGGCTTGTACGGTTGAGCTGCGTAGAGTTCTCGTTGCAGCCCATCATCTATTGTAGTGCTAAAGAGAGTATTATCTCTCAGGTTTTTAGTTAAGCCGTAGTGAACACGCGTTTACTCGCCTAGAGTCTTAGTACCTTTGATCTATCCCGGGTTTAGTCTTCAGAGGGCATCAGTGCGATACGATACACATGTTTGACTTAGGCATGTCTTGGAATCGGTTAATCAAAACACATTTACGTTAGCACACAGAATAAATTTAGGAATTCGGAATCACGATTTCAAGAATATAATGATATCAGCTTCTAACTTCTGGCCACTTACACGCTGCGAAATCCGTCAAGGCGGAGTTGGATGAGAAGTGCGAGGGCGGAGTATAAGATCTACAACGTCCTAGATTCTGTCCAGTCCATCTATCATTAAGAAGATACATTTCCAAACTCGTGGATTTAGTTTAATATCTTCATGCACATCATGGTCTACGAGAAGAGTCCTACAATGGGATATTCAAAATATGAATACAGATGTATATTTCCGATTCGCAAGTTTATCAATCAATCAGTCAAAAAACTTCTGATCAACCCCCGCGATAATTTCTCTCTCAGGCTGATTGACCAATCCAACACGAAATCTATGATCTTTCGCGATTCGCGCCTCTGCCCACTCTGTCATTTATCAGTAAGCAATCAGTCCTCAAACTCTGTTGGCTTCACCTGAGAAATTGACTTACCTTGAGCTGTAACGGGGTGAGAAAACTGAGTCCCAGCGGCCTGCAACCCCAATCGCTGTAGCAGTGGGCTTGATACAGGCGCGAGATTGATGTCAGCTTCAGGCCGAGCGAAATAGATCAAGCTAAGTCGGGGCTTCTGTGCTTGTTCTTCCGGTGGTCGGATGACTCGATGAATAGTACTCTTAAGATACCCTCCGCTCATGAATTCCAACGCATCGGCGATGTTTACAATAATGGCATCTCGAGGCGACTTGACGTATTGCCATTTGCCTTCAGAATTCTGCACCTGTAGGCCAGCAATAGGTTGGTGGAAAAGGAAGGTCAAAGTATTGTAGTCAGTATGCCCACGAGCCCAGATGTTGTTTACCTTTGCATCTTCTTCCTTGGTGCGGGGGTGATATTTCATATATCTCAGGTACTCTAGGCCCTTTTCCTCATATCGGTGTCTATTGACAAAGTACTCTTCGTCTTCCAACTCAAGAACATAAGCGAAAAGTCGAAGGAGTGGAAGTAGAACATTATTGTGAACCCGTAGCGAGAAGTCACGGATCTCGGCAAGATGGTTTTTGATCAATTGTGGGTGATCCCGTTCATGCTCCGGTGTGAACTTGGGTATGTTGTATCTCTCATCATTATCGCGGCCGGCTAGCTCACCAGTTGACTGCTTCTTGTAACCTCGGAAATCTCCTTTGGCGGTGTTGCACTCGTATCGCAGCTTTTCGTCCAGCGGCAGGTCAAAGAAAGCTTGGGCTAAGGCGTACTGTCGTCGAACCTCCTCATCAGAGAAACCATGTCCAGTGACATAGAAGAACCCTAGAGTTTGTCAAATACTAAGCCGAAAGGCAAGCTGGGAGCGAGGCCGCCTCTTACCATTTTTACTGATGAAGCCCAGAACTTGTTCAGCCAATTGCTGCTTTCCGCCGGGCTGGTCAAGCTTGCTCAAATCGAGAGCCTCAAGCTCGACAAAACTGACTAATTAAGGGTACTTTGTTAGAATGCCATTGGAAAAGGGTAACAGGACAAGTTTCTACGGACGATTTTCGCTTGGGCCATCGGGATACTCATATTCCAAGTTCGTGACGGTGCTTGACTGAACTGCCATGACTGTAATCGATCAAAGAGATCGCGATCTACTTTCTTGTTGCTGTAATCAGGTGCTGGAGCAAAGTTAGAGAGGCAGTGCCTTTCAACAGTTTATGCTGAGAGTGGAATTGCTGTTAAATCGTTATGCAGATCGCCGCTTTAGGATCGCATGATGGCGCAATATGGTGGTGGAGTGTCGTCACAGCACCCCTCAAAATATCACAAAACGTGCCACCGGTACCGGATTCACCAAGCACTTCACTATCAAACACTGATGTATAATGTGCCCGATACTCCATTTGCTACGGTTGCGTAGAATACTATGATCCGTATAGAGATGAGTAGCCTATCCACTCAAACCCAAAGCCACACGTGCTAGACAGCCTGCGGGCTAGACGTTAGCAGCTTGTGTGTAGAGCCGTTGATAAAGCATGGCGTTATCTGCAAGCTGAAATGCACCACCGATGTGCCTCCGATGTGCGTATGGTTTAAGAAGGGGAATGCTTTTGGATGGGGAAACGTTGCTGGGTATGTAACGGGAATAAACATGCTGACTTATTTCTCCTACAGATATTAACAATCTAGACATAACGCGGTCCGCATGAGATCTTCAGAGTCCACTTAGAACAGATCTAATTAGGATTTCACCGAAAGACATGGCTTTCCTTTCCCTTGGTAAAAGTTCTTCTAAGTAACCCACCGACCCTAAGAAAACGTCGTTACTGTGTCACCTAAATACCCGTCGATTATATACTTCATGCAGTCCCATCGAACAAGCCGATTGAGTGGTCAGCAATCTCGATTGGAAATTGCCGCATTCTATGCTCCTTGTTACCCCCGGCCTTCATAATGCTTGCCTACTTCAAAAACTTACAAATGGGACGTAGGTTATGAACTCACAGAACTAGTTAGACTTCTTAAGTATTCCACCAAGTAGTCGTATTTCAGCGTCTAAGATAGCAGCTAAGTAGCGCATACCGATGTTACCCTGTCAGAAGTACTTACCCATTCTAGGGTCCAAGTGATTTGAGAGTGAGAGCGATCCTTGCCCGGCTAACCAGTTTGGGTCCCTGGCAGATGGCATCATCGCGACCCGGGCTTTGCAATCCTCGCTCTTGTCAGGAGTTCTTAAGGCTAGGGGAACTATATAATAATATCAGAATGGGTTCTGGATCAAAGTTATGGGCACTTCCCTTCTTTATAGTTACCGTCCTATTGTACATTTCTCTTGTTCTCGACACCATGGGGTCTTTACAGAAGGTTAACGCGGAGGCAATCGCCAGGCCAGTCTCCACCTCTGACCTCAATGACGAGTATGAAAAAAAGTCCCTGAAGAGGCGGATCCGCGAGATTGTGTGGGACAGTCTTGATAGGAGCCCGGAGGAGCGTCGAATGATTGCTAAGCTTGACTTCTTCATTCTGACTTGGGCGAGTCTGGCGTATTTCAGCAAAAATTTGAACACCAATAATCTTTGTGCGGTGTCCACTATTCAACTTGCCGTCCGAGCTTGTACTGACTTGACTTAGCCAATGCTTATGTCTCAGGCATGAAGGAAGAGCTCCCTGTCATCGGAAACGAATATCAAACATTCACAACTATGTGGACAATGTAAAATTCTACATGCACCCGCCTTGGATGATAGTTGAACCGTATGACTGACTAGCGGTCCTAGTGGATATGTTGTCTCGCAAATTCCGTCTCAACTTGTGTGCACTCGAGGTACTTGAAATATTCTAATTCTTAGGGGATCCCCCTACTGATATTGTTTACCACAGTTCGGCTCTCTGTTTGGTGTCCAACTTGGGAACTAATCTGGGTTCTTGTTACATTCGCAACGGCTGCAGTCAAAACCTCGCATCAGCTCTATGCTTGTCGGTTTTTTGTAGGCATCTATCATCCACATGTTGTTGAGGGCTTCTGCTGATATCCGGCTATTTAAAGGTTGGATTAGCAGAAGGCACGTTCTATCCAGCGGTGCACACAGTCCTTGGAGCTTGGTATACAAAGCAAGGTTAGAAGCTTTACTCTTTCTCTTAATAACTACAGCAGCTAACGATACACAGAGCTCGCGAAGCGGTCATGCATTTTCTTCGCTACCGCGTTTATTGGGTCAATGTTTAGTGGTTATTTGGTTCGTACATGAATGAGTTTCGATTTGAGGACAACTCATGTAACACTTCACAGCAAGCAGCACTGCACACTGGCCTGAACGGCGTTCACGGATTATCTGGATGGCGCTGGCTTTTCATTTTTGACGGAGTCATTACCTTACCGATGGCGCTTTGGGGTACGACTTCGAAATATAAATCTGAATGATGATGTGGTCTAACTCGGCCTGATTTTAGCCTACTACGCATTACCCGACTTACCTTCCACCACCAGAGTCAAGTGGCTCAAGCCCGAAGAGAAGGAATTTTTCCTCCAGCGTATGAAGAAGCTGGGGCGGGATCTTGAAGAGCCCGTTACGGTTGCTGGCTTGAAAAGGGTGGTGGGCAAATGGCACTTCTGGGTCTATACAACATACTACACGTGAGTTGCCTAGCCTTGTGCTGCAACTAAATATCAGCTTACATCATCGACAGATTCTTCATTTGCAGCGAAAACATTGGCAGCTACATGAACCTGTGGCTTAAGAGCCTGAATAAGTAAGTGTTTGTCCCCCAGGAAAAGCTTTAGTTTTGCTTACCAAAAATCAGATACACCGTGCCGCAAATTAACACCTACCCAACTGTAACAAATGCAGTGACCATTATCACGACACTTATCTATGGTTGGACTAGCGATGCGTTGCAGATTAGGGCACCTATCATCTACTTCTCTCTAGTCGTGTGCTTTTTCGCCGCGATGAACCTTGCAATTTGGGATGGCGTCCCGTTCGGCCTCAAATGGGCCTCTTTCTATCTTACAGGGTGCGTTCTCGCCATTACATCGATCGTTGGTGGCTCGTTGCTGACAGCTATTTCTAGATTTGCCCAGGGCTCCGGTCCTATATTCTTTGTATGGACCTTTCTCACAACAGCATACGGCTGATTACTGACATAATCTCTCAGACAATGGTTAACGAGCAATGCGCGGGAGACAGTCTGGAAAGAAAGTTCATTCTAGGGACGACGAATTCAATCGCGTGGGTGATTCCAACCCACGTTCTAGACAAACGTTATTAACGGACAATCTAGCTATGCATTCAATGCCTGGATCCCCCTGATTACCTACAATACTAACTACGCGCCTCGGTTCCTAGTCGGTAATGCCACCACTGTCGCTCTGATTGTTGGGGCGGCCGTCACAATTACGGTTGCTGTTCGGCTACAAAAGCGTGATGCTGGTAAGATTTGATTTCTTTCCCCTAAAGTTTACACTACAGTACGATTTTGCTCACAATTATGAAGAAAGCAAGAGGAAGTCGCCGTTGATTGTAGAACCTTGATTCGGCAGCAAATAATGTTTTAATGGGTCTAGTATTCTACCTCTTCACAGGAGGTGCAAGCTAGACTAAGAAAATTATTTTAGAACTTTTAGAACTCAGAACTCGGGATGATCAGCATAAGCACTGATTTGATTCCCCTCAGTATGGCCATTGCACCCTCAAATTCCGAAAATAACAATCTTGAAAGTGGAACTCCCCATGTGCTAAGCTTCCATTCAAAAGAATCGCTTCTATTATTATCTCCCCAAACAAATAGAAGAACAGAGTGGCATCAATTAGTGTCGAAAGTCTCCCATCCGTTGCTCTGATAGAAAAACATCATCAAAAGATAGCCTTGCTGTAGTCTAGGTGGCCTAAGCACTGGGTTCCTCTTGCAAGCTCAGACACCTAGCTGATCAACCAGCGTTCATACGAAGCAAAATTGTGCGTATTCCTTGGGGGTAAATAACGATCAACCTTGGTATTTCTATCAAACCGGTACCTGAATTTTCTCTTACTCTCCGTATCTCCATCTATGATCCTCGATAGCAAGCTAGTTTGGTCTCTTCTGCCACGTGGGGTGAGGATTCTTTGTAGCAGTTACTGGCGTAAGAGGAAACTCTATTTCGGTCACTCTAAGAATTCAGAAAGCTTATGGTGTGACTATGGGTTGCAACCATTACCCATTCCCCTCCATCCGTCTTGCTAGTTAGTCCATATTCAGATGTACCGTTACGGGGGATGCCACATCACAAGCCAGATTGTCTACCAAGCTATCTCTCCCGAGAGTAACTCTACTAGCTATGCCAGAGAATAGGCCGCATTCTCCTTCGCAATGATGCGATGGCTTCCTAAGTTTTGATATTTGATTTGACCCTCCTTCAATCGGGATTTTTTCATGAGCTCATTATTATCACGCTCACATTATGTTTCCGCCAAGTCCCCGCACCTCAATTCCCAGAACTCTCCCGCCCAGCTAATGCGGCCAAAGCAGATCTCAAATGCGGCGCCCTGCGACATCGTGCAGAAGCTGATGGACACTTCTGTCAAAGGATAAGGCTTGCGGAATCGCCGCCTTAGCCCCCCTCCAACTCCTCTCGGAAAGATAAAAGGGTGGTTTACTATGGCTGGACCCTTATTGGGCATCTACTTCTCCATCTGTATTCCCCTGACAGCCGCAACCTTCGCCCTCGTTTTTCGATTTTTGGCACGGCGAATTTCAAAGTGTCATCTGTGGTTCGATGACTACTTCGCGTTGCTTTCATACGTACGTTCTATCTCTTCTCTCAATATCGCCACAATCTGTAGTTTTGACATTTATAACTGACGCCCGTGTTTCAAGATCTTTGGCTGGGGATATCTCGTAACAGTCCTCATTCGTATGCGATGAGCCTTCCCTTCAAATGCAACATCATACAGATATTCCCGATGGCTAACAACTCCATCCACAGTATTAACACATTTCAGTCTCGGCAAAGCTCCTAAACTGATGGACCCCGATCAGGTCGAGGAGGTACTCACGAAGGTACGAAAGTTGATATGGGTGAATGAACTCATGTACGCGTCCACAATCGCGTTTTCTAAGCTCTCCTTCATCTCCTTGTACTGGCGCATCTTCAAATTCACCGTCATTCGCATACCGATCCGTCTCCTACTTGTTGCCTGTTCCGCTTGGTTCATTATCCGAACCTTCGCTATCCTGTTTCAGTGCTGGCCAGTATCATACATCTGGGACAAGACTATCAAAGGCGGCACATGTAAACTCAACATAAGCAGATTCCTTTTTGGCACAGTCCTCACTCATTGCCTCATGGACATCACCATCCTCGTTCTACCGGTGTTTCCCGTGGTGAAGATGCATCTCTCATGGCAGCAAAAGGTGGGAATCATCGGACTATTTGCCTCTGGAATAATGTAAGCATAGCTTTCCCCATGTCCGCCTCAAGAACCAATGGCCAATTTAACATATTATAGAGTTGTGTCCTGCTCTGTACTTGTCTTGATACAGGTTATCATGTACAAGCCCCTAGACGCTAGTTACACTCTCAAGCTTGTGAATTTTATTGTATGGGGCAATGCGGAGGTGAACTTGGCTATATTATGCTGTAAATTCCCCATCAAGTCCCTTTTCGATTCAGCAGCGAATACTTATTCTCATCACAGGCTGCTTACCTATACTGCGTCCAGTATTTCGCAGAATTGTTCCCAGAAAGAGACGAAGCTCACCCTCTGAACTGGAGCTACGCGAGCGTGATGTTAGAGCTTCTCAAATGAGGCCGCCTGTAGGTCTAAGAGTAGAGAGGCCATTTCCAGCTCGTATAAAAGAGAACCTTGGCTGGGGGAGAAGCGCAAGCAGCTAGACTCTATTTCCAGTTGTTGTTGCTATTTTTGTATGTGCGCCTTGAACCTTCTTTGGCTAGGTATCAGCATTAACCTAATATAATAAGGTTCAAAAATTAAATACAAGACTCTTTCATATCAAGAAAGCTGTATTAAAGATGGTATGAAATACTTCCTAGTTAATATTTAAATGACTTAAACTTAATTCTTTTCTTCATCTAAATATTCCTAAATTCAGCCTATATCCTTAGCCAAGAGTCCTTTAAATCACCTCACCATTTCTATATCTATTTACGCCTGTCTAATCTTCTAGTATTTGTTCAAATGCCTCTAAAACGGCGATCTCGGTAAAAGTCCTTCTATTTCATTTTGATTCATCTCGCCAGTGAACATGTGTTGTGAGCTCTTGTTGCGATGCAATCGACTCTGCATCAAGCGCCCTGTGCCGCTCCGATTTTGGCACCCGGAAGCCAAGATGCTTCAGATAGTCTCCAGGGAACCAGATATTATATAGTACGCAGACTATGAATATAGGGAGAACATCGAATGTGTAGAGACTGATCGGTAAGTAATTAGCCTTTTGATAAAACTTAGTAACAGAGAATAACATACTACCACTCTTTCTTCTCAATGATTTCTTGGGTGCCTGGAGCAAATTCAACCATCCGAAACACAGACCGGATCTAGTGTCGAGATAGTTAGTTCTGAGGCTTTTCAAAGCAGATAGATGCTTCGACTCACCAGAATAAGTGCACAAGAGGCATTCACTACGTAGAGGAGGCTCTCGTAGTGCTTGCTGATTTTCCACCTCGTCTGGTTCTGGCTCACATGGTGTCCATCAAACTGTCTTGAAGTAAAGTGAAACCTGACAGCAGCCACAGTAAAGATTCCAAACCCGAAAAGCTGAACCCCTACTCCAGCAAGGCCAAGATTTCTACCCATCTCGATTTTACCCTCCGCATTTTCGTCCGTGGCTTGAGTCGTAGAAAGCATCGTGGCAGCGCCCATCTGCAGAAGAAGAGATAGGACATCGAAACCAACAAATATAAGTGTGATAAATCGTGCTGTATTATTTTAATAGGTCAGTCAGTTTCCATCTTTAGGAACAAGCAAGAAGTCCTCCGACTTACGAGGCACCCAAATAACGCTAAATGTCAAATGTTCAGGGGGTGTTGCCCAAGAGACGATTCTAGAGAATACAACATAGACGACCGCTGCCATAAGAACCGGTGCCAGGATAATGAGAGCAAATTGAACGGAGTATGGTTGTAAGTCTCCAGGACTGCGGGCTGATACAATCCTTGCTACGAAGCCAACGATTTCCACTGCCTAGGGGTCAGTACACTTTATAATTCAACAATATATGGGTGTGTTCATATACCTACTTGAAATACTTAAGAGCATAACAAGCCATACCCATGCCCTTTTTCGGATAATTTGAAAAAGAGTCAATAAGAAACTAGCAGCAAAAAGACCAGCAGTGACACCTGCGAGAGGCTGTGAAGGAACATATGGGAAACGTGAAACTGGATCAGCCATAATGAAAACGAAACAACAGTAACGAGTGACAAAGAATATTAAAAACACAACGTTCTCTCAGATTTAGACGTCAATACAGATCATTGCAAGTGAACGCTGACTTCTTTATAAAGGTCATCTTCGCCGTGTTGATCTGTGCTCTCACCAAAACCGACAGGGATCGCGACAATCTTCCTCGTCTAGGCCGCGGGCAAGAATTAGCGGCGGGAGAGACTCATTTCGGTGTGTTTGACAGGGATGCAAAATACTGAGCATTGAGCATTCAGTTTTCACTCTCCACTGTAATCTGGGCCAGTTGAACAGGGGTCGCGTCAGTTTCCCCTTTCGTCCCAAACAATGTCGTGTCCCTAGATAGAGTCATTTGGGAAGGGTACTCAGATGCCTTTTGCCAGGCAGACGGGCATATAGCACCCGGTGAGCCATCTCATCCCACTTTACCTATAAATAAAGATAAGATGAAGACTCGATCGGAGCCTCTGAATTGGGTCAGATCCCCACCTGTCGATACTTGCTTGGTCCAAGTTCCTAACCGCTGACTACCTACCCTATAGCCACCCGTTCCCTGTACATTTTTTCCTGGAGAAGGCGATCTGCAGCGATAGCAACGGTGTCGATTAGATTCACTGATTGAATATTTATGAATATTGGCGGATAATTGATTGGAAGCCTCCTTATAAACTGAGTAAGAGCACTTTACTCAACCAAAGTTGTTTAATAGGAAACATTAGAAAGTGAGGTGTTCCCGATACCAAAAACAGCTAGACCTTTTTTGGGATCTAGAAGACGCGTACAACGCGTTAAAAAAGCGGACACGTGTATCTTTCGCGTCTTTCTCCGCTATTTTCTATCACGTGATAAAGACGCTTCCTGATTCACGTGACATGCAATACTCTCAACGTATTTGATGATATTACGTCTCTAATCTCATACAGCAAGACGATTTTTGGACAGAAGATAGACAGCTTAGGCTACTAGCTATGGTTTACCATTACACAAGACATCTAGTCAGGTCTACAGCCATCATTTGTCTCAACAAGAGACAGTTAGGTTGGGTTCTAAGCAATTCCTCTTCATGGTTGTATCGTGACGGATTGTCGCTACTTCTATTGTCGTAAGCTGCTCCGCTAAATCTCATGTACTTGAAACACTGTGGCAACTAATTGGCTGAACACCCCTGCTTTCTCCACAGGTCAGCGATAATGTCGTATTCCGCGTACAAGCCATGGGATTCCGCCCTCGTAATTGAGCCTCGGACGAGAAGGAAGCAATGATCGCTGCGACATTATCCGCGTGGTTCGCGCGGACGAAAAGCCTACAATGGCTCAGCTACCCCCTTCAGTTCCGAGTGTCTCAGCTCAGCTGCGTGTCTCCTGCGGCTGAGATGATACTACGTCATAAACTAATTCGCCATGTCAGCAAAGGAATATGTTTACCTCGGATAGCCCAAGAAGCAGTCATTCGTACCCTCCAATACGAGCAATAGTGCATCCTCAGCTCTGAGGGCTTGCATCAATAGCTTCAAGAACCCTGCAAAAGTCTCAAAGCGACGGCGCCAGCTGCTATCTATCCACCACATTTGTGTATCAATTGCTACCTAGCTACTTAGTTGTGTATTGGATTTGGGTTGCAATTGTGATCTGCGCCGCCGTTTACCAATATCTCGCTTAGAGCGTCTCACGGTCCGATGACCTGAAGCCGCGTCAAGCCGCATAATCTGAACAACGAGGCGAACTTTCAGTAGGTAGTCGATGTTATCAGTATTTATACCATCTTTAATGTCCTGTTCTGCTCTTGAACAATACCACTTCAATCACCAACTGCCAGCGAAGCATCACACCAAGATGATTTTGCCAATGTTGCCATCACTTCATCTGTTACTTCGCCGTTGATCTCATTTCCTTGCCACTTCATGTCGAAATACTGGCTTTCCATGGGTCTTGGATCCAATGTATATTATTTTACATAATTCTTTTTTCTCTCAATATCATCTTTTTTCCTCCATCAATTACAAATTGTTTACAAATTCCTGTGCACCACGACAAATTGATTTCCAAACTCAATGGAGGAGGGAAGTCGGGGTAGTATGTGTCGAGTGATCTAATTGAACCTGGAACCCACTGCTGCTCACTGCTGGCAGGGCTTTCTTTTGCTACAAACAACAGGATAGCCCATTCCTGGGGTTTTAATACTAGACTACGACTGTGGGATTTCACGATGGGAGAAGTCTGATTGAGAAGCTTACATTCAAAATCATTTACGTTATGTAAGAAAAGACCCCAAGAACAACAGCAACATATTAATGGACCACCTTGAGATCATTAAGGTATCGAGTAGATCTAATGCCAGCCAAAACTATCAAGAGATGTAAGGGCTCTCAGGTCGATCGACGCCTGGGAAAATGTGATCCCAGATAGCAAACCACATTTGGGCCGGAGTATGTCTCAGCAAAACCAGACCCTGGCAGAGCGTGCGGAAATCGTCAGCGAAAACACGAGGAGGTGTCGCCTCCGCTTGGCAAATGGCGCTCCTACAATGAGTGGTCCAAATATCCGCGTCTGGGAATTCTTCGTAGCAACTGGGGCAGTAATAATCCCCAAGTGCATGGCGGCGAATGATGTGTCCTTCCAACTGGGAGATTCTCTTGAATTTCCGGTTGCGGCATGAGCTGTGTTGTTCTCTGTCATGTTTAAAGAACGGGCAAGCAAAAAACTCCTTCTTTGCACCCGAATGTCGTCGTTTTGTCGCGCCCCCTTCATCATCCTCATCTCTGTTCTGATTTATTGCCAGTTTTCGCTTTCCCAACTGAGTTTGGCTTGCATGCGCGTTATCTGAGCGGACGTTGTTGACGTTTAAAGACTCTATTGTTGAAGAAGAGTCATCGATTTCCTGACCATGGCCCGGATCCCATCCTGAACATTTCTTTACGTCTTGCTGCCCGAAACAATCGAATGTACCATCTACCTCCGTCGTATATTCTGGACCGATCGTGGGGATGGGATACGAGGCGTGAGACTTGTTGAAAAAGGTAACGAGCTTGATCATGAGGTTGAGTCTACCGGTACAGAGGGAACAAGGACTGGATTGGTCTATGTACAATGAATAGGATTTAGCGAAGTTCTGCGTCTAGTCTTCTGCTGAAGGAGCGGTGGAGGTAAAGCACCGTTGTGTATTTGGGTTTACTCACCGTTAAGCTTCGACCGACACTCGATGCAGGAATAATAATGTTCTTTGGCAACGAAGATATTTAGAAGGCGGATCCATGGCCCTTGAATTTCATATTGAGAGCAAACGTTCGTGGATTTAGCTCCATGACCGGTGAGATGGGTGCAAAGAGAGCGCTGTTTGTCAAGTTGGTCTCGACCTATGACTTCCCCTAAAGGATACATACTGTAAATCGTCAAAATTGCCGTTGTGGTTGTTGCCGGAAGGACTGGATATTTATCGTGAAGATGAGTGAATAAAGAGGTTGATTAAAACAGCTAAATCCTAGACTTATTGACTAGAATACAACGTTGGACTGACTAGTTTCATCTTGTGAGGGGCGGAGTGATGAGAAGATTCGCATCTCTCTGTTCTGCTGTTTTTGTTTTGTATAGCGGCACCAAGGCGCAGTTTGCCCTTCAAGTTGGACCAAGGCAACGGTGTCATATGGCTTCCGAGTGGAGTCTGCTACATAAGAAATTCAGGCGAATGGCGGCCCAAGGCTGATCGAAAACTCGCCTTGCCTCTCACAAATGTCGTCCGCAGGGCAAGGGGGTGTACTCCTCGGCGTGGCTTTGAGCCTTGCACACCCCCTTTTCACGAGCCCGAATTTTTCTTGTTCTGGGACTTCGCGCCCCTGAGAAGGGTAATAAGTTAGACCGGAACGACCAGTGATGAAGTTGTGACAGCATAGCAAGCTGCAAAGCTACATGTACAGAGAAGGGACTTCGGACGGCTACCGATTGCCTCCCAGCTAGAAGGCTACGGACGCCAGGGAATCATTTTTTTGGGCCTGGCTTCGGGCCACTGCCTTGGCACCAACAAATGGGTGTTGGAGGTGTGAGTGGAGTGCAAGTCGAGGCGACTGCACCGTTTATTATTAAAACAAAGTGTGGCAAACCGTTTACTTAGCTCAGGGTCCCCGAGGGTACACCTGTTGGGCGACGTCAACGCAGACAGACACGAGAGAGGGGAGGGTGTTCCGTCATCTCGAAGTGCGTCAGAGTAAATGGAGTTAGGCACTTGATGATTATACCAACATTATTGCCTTGCATATCTTGACTCTTCCATATGTGACATGTACGTAAAACTCCACTGATGCAAGATAGACAACGGGTATCTTCTGGATATGATCAAGGGTACCCAGATCAATGAAAGTGAATTAAAGACCTTGGCAAAACTGATAAACCATATGGGTGGGAAATTCTCCCACTTCGGAAAAAAGACCCTCTTGCCTGCAATGGAGGCGCTATACATATGCACCAACATACATATGTACATTGCCGCACTCCTACATTGCAGGGGAGGGGTGTCCAGCAGATGAGGTGGCATTGGTCATTGAACTGCCATGACCTTAGTGGATTTGATCATGGACAGACACAGAGATGGGGACTGAGCGTGGGCCAGGGCTCCTATATTTCACCGTCATGCAATCAGCGTCCACAAAGCGCCAGCTTAGGTAGGCTTTCGGGCGTGGAGGCTGTGCTAAGAGACCCGTACGGTGAATCTGAGTGGTACAAGATGTAAACAGGCTGCTCGCTTTGGCCATTGGTTTAGAAAATGGCCGCACTGTGAGGTGGCTTGTGATGGCAGTAGACAGCTGGCACTGGCTCTAGGCGTGACCTGACAAGGCAACCTTTTTCTCTGCCTCTCTTGACCGAGATGGACCATTTCAGTTTTCTCTTGGGGACAAGAGGGCTTAGGGCTGTGCGATTCGCACATTCCGGAGGTGTTTACTCATTGGCCTCCTGGTAGACAGACCTGTCTTGAGAAATACACCAATACGCACGACTATCAATGCCTCTATTTTTCCAATTCGGGGGACGAGGGACGAGGTATTCATCAATCATTTTCTCAAATATTTCTAAATGCCAGTCTCTCACGCCCCAAACACAGATATAAGGATAGCCTACGGACTGGAGTGACACCTACAATTGTTTGTTTGATGCAATTGCCCGGATAAATTGTCAACTGGGTCTGCTAGGACGGAAGAAAACGAAAGAGGATCCTCGCGGAAAATGTCCCCCTGTCGGTGGCGTCGGATTTCAGCTGGCGACTGTGACGAGGCGCTCGCCACGTACGTTCCATCCAAGCCGATACCCAGCTTGCCAGCCAGCTGTCCCTGAAGGCACACACCTCCAAGCAGGGATGCCGTAAACTAAGGCTATTGAGGCAGCCAGCCACTGGTGCCCCAAATCTTTTGATCCCGCTGACAGAATGGCACGGTACTACATGTGGCTGGGCTGGGATCGCTGGGAGTGTGATCAGACTGCAAGCCCGATCGCCTGGAACAGCCAGTCATTGACAGCCCTTTCACCGAGTCCTCTCAGCGGAAAATCCCAATGTACACTCCCCAAGGGAATGTGACGAGGATTTATCCCTCAGTAGACAAAGTGCCCCACCTCAATGTCCCCTCAACACTCCCTGATAACCGCCACTGGTCTCAGCTGAGGCGGGGTAACAGCTTCAATGGGCTCCCTATTCGGCTTGAGGTAATTATCGAAGCTGGCTTTCCCTTTCCGAGAAAGTATCTCTGAACAGGCACTGACCACGCCCGTTGTCTTGCTTCGAAGGCAGGTGTTTGAGAACACACTTGTGCTGGGAGCAGGGGCCGTCTCGGGCACGTTGGGCCGGCTTCCACACACTCAGATCGCATTCCCCCTTCTCCAATCATCCGTGATACAGCCCTGAGTATGAGTAAGAGCAGCTGCCGGGCATAGACGCCCGTCATCAGCTAAAGACTTAGGAGGGGGGTGTCAGTACGGCATTCCTCCCTGTACTGCGCCGAGCCTTATCCATACTGCGTGCCGTCACAAGACACAGTGCCACGCCCGACTGTCTACGTAGCAAGGCTTTGCCCCCACAGACCGGTTGTTTTTAGTCTATCTTACTCCATACCTTCCCCTTGAATAGTAATATCTGAGTAATTCATGGAATTGAGAGCCGTTTCCACCGACAAAGCCACTATGTAGCAATCCTAGTATTATAGTGGACCAAACGAGGCAAATGCATCTCTGCTGGGGCTTAGGCTGTCCTTGGGAATCCAAACCTACGACTGGGTGTGTGCACGCATGGCTAGCACTACGATTGATTTGCCTTGCGACTGTCTGGAGCTAGGGGTACACACAAGCCAGTTGTGCCATGCTGACCTTTGGCGCAAGATTTTCAAGGAGAATGTAGGACCGTGTCTGACAAGCATAGCCGTAAGCCTATTTTCGCCCAGACTTTGAAAAGAGCGGTATGCTCATCCCTTTGTTTCCCCTTTCACGAGAACTGACACTTCCGATGCACGTCAGAGCTTGTTTTTCCTAACAGCCAGGCGAAAGACTGCGAAGAAGACCAACTTTTCGAATTCCACGACGCCGAAAGAACCGATGTACATGACCAAGACGAGAAATCTCGGATATCCCTGACCGCGAACACTTCTACGACTTCTAAAATTCATATTGAAGACACCGCCAGAAAACTTGGGTCCGAAAGCGCTAGTGAAGGACCCGAGTGTCGTCTCCGCTGCTCTTGTGACACTGTTAAAGCCTTACATCACTGTGGCCAATGAGAATAAACTCGGCCTGACGTGGCATGTTTCTGTTGGCTTCGGGCCAGCCGGGCCAATAGACAAGCACTTATGGAAATCTTTTGTGACAAAATCTTGGCATGGGGTTTATTCTAAAACTATGTCATCTTTCGTCCCCTGCCTTATACCTTACGTTTCGACTTTTAGACTCCAGAGTGCCATACTGTCAGTTTTTTTCACACATCTATAGGCTCTGCCTGTGACCACCAAAAACGCCTCGAGTATTACCGTGACCATACAAATCTTTCGCCTGCACGTCAGAGAAACATGATATAATATCTCCACAATGAAGGGATCCGAGAATATCTCGCACTGGCTTGCCTTGAGGATGTGGCTGGTGTGGACTCCTTGTTAACTTAGCGACGCGCTATTTTGCACCAACCACAAGTTAACTGCCACGATCTGTCTCGAGCTGTCTTCCGATTCGTCTAATCGCTTGGTTTCCAACGGTGGGGATCTGCCTACAGATATGGTCGTGATCCCATTGGTTGCAGGTGCAGGGCCGGATATAACATAGGTTGTTGTCCACCAGATCCATGCATGACTAGCACTAACATTATGCGTGGACAGGGCACTTGCTCAAGGTCGCGACTGATCTTGGGTATTGAGTGCGGCTGCAAGGGGTCTAAACTCTTTGCGCTGCGCTCACTTCTAAGTAATTACTTTACTTTGATGTCAGTCTTCCCAGGCAAAAATTTGGATGAATCAGCTCTCTTCATATTATCTCCTCCGCTACTCTAGAGCCTCACAAGAAACCGAACTTGGTTTGAAGCGTCACTCTGCCCCTATACCAACCAGTGGTCCAGTAACTCAAATTCTTTGAGTCGCAACATCTCGAGGTTTCCAAAGTCAGAGGGCCTGTAAGTAGAGCTCCACGGATATACTACCTATGGAAACCAACCTCGTTACTCGTATCTATGATCAGAATGAGTTCACCAAGGCTTCGAAAGGATGGACCACCCCACATTAAGGTCTCGGCAATGCCTGATCTCTGATGCAGCATGTAGGAGCTGACTTGCATATAGCCAGTTTGAGCTAATGTACGTCAAGGCTACCGCCCCAGACCGTCGGTAATCCATAGGTGTCCCCTTGCCACGTACAGCAGTACTTTCTCTGCTGCTCCGTGCCTATGTGATGCCCTTTAATGTTGAGAGAAGGGCTGTACCTACTTTTCGAGCGGAAGAATAAAAACCTTCCCCTTGTCATTAAGTGCATGTATGGTTTTAAAACGCGCATTGCGTCTGTGGATCATAGGAGTTTTGGAACTTCTGGTAGGATTCTAAGCGCCTTTCGTATTGATCGCATCTGGATTGATGAGGCTAACTCAACTATTTATAGTATTGAGTTAATGCTCTTCCAAACTTTCTAGAGTGGAGATAGTCAAAGTGCTTAATTCATTCTTCAGTCTCCCCTCACTATTCTGCCCCATGCACCCTCCTCAATCTTGTTCCTCAGGTACTCCCCCATGATTTCTCCTCTGAGCTTCCCGGCTCCTCCTTGATTTCTGCTTCTGCACTTCTCACCCACTGCACGGTAACTCCATGCAAAGAACTCTTAGCTATCATCTACTCCTGGATCGCATGGTACGCAGCCAAATACTTCTCATAAGCA